AAATGGTAGGCCACACAAGCTCACAGAACGGGACCGCCGAATGCTGAAGCGCGTAGCGAGTAATATTCTGTCCTCGGTTGCAACACTCACTACCGAGTGCCAAACTGCCTCTGTAAGCAACGTCAGCACAATAACTGTTTGTCGGGAGCTTAATTTATTAAAAATAAAACTGGGAAATATTAGATTTACATAAGTACTCAGACCCTTTACTCAGTACTTTGTTGAAGCACCGTAAGCAGCGATTACAGCATTGAGTCTTCTTGGATATGACGCTACAAGCTTGGCACACCTGTATTTGAGGAGCTTCTCCCATTCTTCTCTGCAGATCCTCTCAAGCTCTGTCAGGTTGGATGGGGGAGCGTTGCTTTCAGGTTTCTCCAGAGATGTTCGATCAGGTTCAAGTCCGGGCTCTGGCTGGGCCACTCAAGGACATTCAGAGACTTGTCCCGAAGCCGCTCCTGCGTTGTCTTGGCTGTGTGCTTAGGGTCATTGTCCTGTTGGAAGGTGAACCTTCGCCCCAGTCTGAGAACCTCCTCCAGAGCGCTCAGGACTTAATCAAGGATCTCTCTGTGCTTTGCGCCATTCATCTTTGCCTCGATCCTGACTAGTCTCCCAGTCCCTGCCGCTGAAAACCATCCCCACAGCATGATGCTGCCACCACCGTGCTTCACCATAAGGATGGTGCCAGGTTTCCCCCAGATGTGACGCTTGGCATTCATGCCAAAGAGTTCAATCTTGGTTTCATCAGACCAGAGAATCTTGTTTCTCATGGTCTGGGAGTCTTTTAGATGCCTTTTACTGAGGAGTGGCTTCCGTCTGGCCACTCTACCATAAAGGCCTGATTGGTGGAGTGCTGCAGAGATGGTTGTCCTACTGCAAGGTTCTCCCATCTCCACAGAGGAACTCTAGAGCTCTGTCAGAGTGACCATCGGGTTCTTGGTCACCTCCCTGACCAAGGCCCTTCTCCCCCGATTGCTCAGTTTGGCGGGGCGGCCAGCTCTAGGATGTGACTTGGTGGGTCCATACTACTTCCATTTAAGAATGATGGAGGCCACTGTGTTCTTGGGGACCTTCTATGCTGCAGACCTTTTTTGTACCCTTCGCCAGATCTGTGCCTCGACACAATCCTGTCTTGGGGCTCTACGGACAATTCCTTCGACCTCGCGGCTTGGTTTTTGCTCTGACATGCACTGTCAACTATGTGACCTTATATAGACATGTGTGCCTTTCCAAATCATGTCCAATCAATTGAATTTACCACAGTTGGACTCCAATCAAGTTGTAGAAACATCTCAATTTCGAGTCTCATAGCAAAGGGTCTGAATACTTATGTAAATAAGTATTATTATTTTAATTTTATTATTAAAGTAGTATTTATTTTTTCACTTTTTCCACAAACAAATAAATAAATTTTTTAAATAAAACGTACAGCATAAAAACATTGAGCATGACATCCAGACATATCATTTTACATTTACATTTTAGTCATTTAGCAGACGCTCTTATCCAGAGCGACTTACAGTTAGTGAATACATATTTATTTTATACTGGCCCCCCGTGGGAAGCGAACCCACAACCCTGGCGTTGCAAACGCCATGCTCTATCAACTGAGCTACATCCCATATCCTCCAACATAGCACACATACACAGTCAAATAATATCTCACTAGCTATAATACAGAACTAAATGGGTTCACAAGCATAAGTAATCACCTCCCAGTCTTAGAAACATGACAAATAAAACGTGTCCAGCTTCTAGAATTGTCGTTTCTACCAGTGATCCTTGCAAGCATTTGTTCATAAGATGCTACCTCCAACATTGATTCTATCCACTGTTTCAGAGTAGGAGTGACATGACCCTTCCAAATTCTAAGGATTACTCTAGCTGCTGTAACGATACCAACAGTGATCAGTGCAAATTCCTCATTTGTGACTTTGTAACTCGCCCAAGAGACATATTCTCGGTGAAACTGGAATTGTTAACCCCAACTTTTCCTCCAGATATTTCAAAACATCCTTCCAGAAAGGTAGCGCTAATGTACATTCCCATATTGCGTGTAAAAAATGTCCCAAGTGTCTTTTTGGCATTTCCAAAAAAGAGAATTGTTGGTCAGCCCCATCTTATGAAGCCTTGTTGGGGTCCAATAAAACCATTTTAATATCTTATATTGAGTAAGTTTCCCCCTGGCTTCCCTTTATGTTCCTCCCTGACAAGATCTTCAACCAGGTATCATCATCAATTTCACACTTAAGGTCAATTTGCCATATTGTTCAGAGGTTTTCAGTCTTTACTCTGCAGATAACTAAATATTGAGTAAAAGATGGCTGCTTTATGTTTGGGTAATTCCAAATACTCAGCTATTGGGTTCTTTCCTGGATTTTGTTGATAGCCAGTTAACAAACATTCTCTCAATTTGTAAATAGTTCCAGAAATGTCCCTTGTCCACCACATCACATTTTTGTACCAAATCTGAGTATGATATTAAAACATCTTCATTGTACAGATATGAATTCCTTTCATTAGCCACTGTTTCCAGTAAACAGACTAATTTTCCTATCTGTAGCCTAGGATTGTTCCACAATGATGAGTATCCTTGTTTTTGATGTGAAATTCCACATATCTTGTGTACTGTTCTCCACACCTCTTTTGAGTGTAACAAAATTGGGTTGGGAGTTTCAACAGACCTCTCCCCTGTAAGACTGTGACGGAGTATCAACAGGGGTGAAAGGATAACTTAGTTCCCGTTCTATTGCTATCCAATCCAAGCCACCATCCCTTTTGCCCCAATGCTTCTCCAATTTATCAATTTCAAATGATAAATTGTACAATTTAACATCTGGTAAAGCCAAGGCTCGTACATCCCTTGGTGAGCACATCTTCTTCATATTAATCCTGGGTTTCTTCCTATCCCACAAAAATGATTTAGTTAATTTGTCATATTGTTTAAAATATTAATAGTTAACATTGCAGAGATATATAATTAAATTGTGGTACCACAACCATTTTAATCACATTGTTCTTTCCCCATGAAGAAAGTTGTATCTTTTCCCATTTATCTAAATTGGTCTTAATCTTGACTAGTAGTGAGCTCAAATTCCTCCAAATATGAGCTCAACTTAATACCCAAATATTTAATCCCAGTAGAAATTTGAAATTCAATGTGGTAACGGTTCCAGAGTAACATTTGGCATTGCTTCCGACTTATTCCAATTAATTTTGTAGCCTGACATACTAGAATATGATTCAATACAAGTAAGTAATCCTGGTACAAACTATGAAATAACACATGGAATCATGTAGTAACCCAAAATGTGGTAAACAAATCAAAATATATTTTACATTCTTCAAAGTAGGCACCCTTTGCCTTGATGACAGCTTTACACACTCTTGGCATTCTCTCAACAGCTTCATGAGGAATTATTTTCCAACGGTCTTGAAGGAGTTCACACATGCTGAGTACTTGTTGGCTGCTTTTCCTTCACTCTGCGGTCCAACTCATCCCAAACCATCTCAATTGGGTTGAGGTCGGGTGATTGTGGAGGCCAGGTCATGTGATGCAGCACTTAATCACTCTCCTCCTTGATCAAAAGCCCTCACACATCCTGGTGGTGTGTTTTGGGTCATTGTCCTGTTGAAAAACCAATGATAGTCCCACTAAGCGCAAACCAGATGGGATGCCGTATCGCTGCAGAATGTTGAGGTAGCCATGCTGGTTAAGTGTGCCTTGAATTCTAAATAAATCACAGACACTGTCACCAGCAAAGTACCATCACACCTCCTCCTCCATGCTTCACGGTGGGTACCACACATGCGGAGATCATCCGTTCACCTGCTCTGCGTCTCACAAAGACATGCCGGTTGGAACCAAAAATCTCAAATTTGGACTCATCAAACCAAAGGACAGATTTCCACCGGTCCATTGCTCATGGTTCTTGGCCCAAGCAAGTCTGTTCTTCTTATTGGTGTCCTTTAGTAGTGGTTTCTTTGCAGCAATTGGACCATGAAGGCCTGATTCACGCAGTCTCCTCTGAACAGTTGATGTTGAGATGTGTCTGTTACTTGAACTTTGTGAAGCATTTATTTTGAATGCAATTTCTGAGGCTGGTAACTCTAATGGACTTATCCTCTTCAGCAGAGGTAACTCTGGGTCTTCCTTTCCTGTGGCGGTCCTCATGAGTGCCAGTTTCATCATAGCGCTTGATGGCTTTTGCGACTGCACTTGAAGGAACTTTCAAAATTCTTGAAATATTCCGTATTGACTGACCTTCATGTCTTAAAAGTAATGATGGACTGTCGTTTCTCTTCGCTTATTTGAGCTGTTCTTTCCATAATATGGACTTGGTCTTTTACCAAGTAGTGCGATCTTCTGTATACCCCCCTACCTTGTCACAACACAACTTATTGGCTCAAACGCATTAAGAAGGAAAGAAATTCCACAAATTAACTTTTAACAAAGCACACCTGTTAATTGAAACGCATTCCAGCTGACTACCTCATGAAGCTGGTTGAGAGAATGCCAAGAGTGTGCAAAACTGTCATCAAGGCAAAGGGTGGCTACTTTGAAGAATCTCAAATATAAAATATATGTTTATTTGTTGAACACTTTTTTGGTTACTATATTATTCCATATGTGTTATTTCATATTGTTGATTTCTTCACTATTATTCTACAATGTAGAAAATAGTCAAAATAAAGAACAACCCTGGAATGAGTAGGTGTGTCCAAACTTTTGACTGGTACTGTATATACACACAGTATATCTACAGAGCTCTATTGCTGGCACGCACATGCTTGGGCAGACACGCACAGTGCATTTATACACGCACGCACGCAAATGCAAATAGACCAAGACACACAGAGGCATGCACGCAAACACACTTGTACAGACACAGGTTAACGCACACACATATTGCAGACACACACCCCTCTTAACCCTCTATATCCTCCCTTCAGAGTCTCTGTTCCACCTGCTGCTGGAGACGACAGTGCGCAGCACGGGGATGAACGACCCCACGGGGCAGGCCCTCACCGCCCTGTCCTGCGCCTGCCTCTTCAGCCTGGTGGTGTCCTGGGGAGACACGGGCAAGACCCTGCAGGCCGTCTCCGCCATACTCACCAACAACGGCAGTCACGCCTGCCAGACTATCCAGGTGAGACGACGCGGTGCAACACAACACTAAACAAGACAACACACTTCCCCACTCAGGGTAGACTTGTTAAAACTGCTCCACACTAATCAGACTGTCTCAAGGCAGCAGTGTCTGGAGATCTGATGGAGAGCAGAAATTACATTGGAGAGAATGTCAAGCGTCTGATTTCCACCCTCTTATGTTACCCCGCCCGCATTCTTCCACTTATTAAGTTTATAATATTTGAGCGTATGAGTCCCTTGTTTGTGTGTGTACGTTATTTTCTGCTTGAGTGATACTATTTGTGTGTGTGCGTTTGTCTGTCTGTAACCATGTTTAACCAACCTTTTTTAATGCGAGTAAAGTCATGCCGTATAAAAATTAATCACGACAGGTGGAATGAAAACAGCACAATTTCGTAAATGTCAAGACAATTTTTTCGTTCGTCATGTTGGGATCTTTTTGTATCGGTAAAATTAATAATGCGACAATTGTGATGGAAACGGTTTTATGCGCAAATATTGATAAAATAAATGTCGATGTCAACATGCACTCACGCGATGCTATGTTGTGTGGTCCTCCAACTGCGACTTGGAAAAGCATGCACAGTTTTTTTTAGGCTAAAGATGAAATAAGTTATGATTAACTTCACAGGGTGGTAAAAGTACACGGTGATGCGTTTGATGCTACTTTCCCAAAAATATGTGATTTAGTCTTATTGATTTGGTCTTTATGTAGCAACATTTTTAATGGTGTTTTTACATTGGATAAAAGTTGAGACTCCGAGCTAGAAAATGGCATATCATACACTGCAGTTTAGGAACAACGAGAAAGTAATTCTGCTTTCAAAGTTGATAAACTTGTAACCCCACTTTTGAGAAAATGGCCCGTGAAAAAGGGCGGCAGGTAGCTTAGTGGGTAAGAGCGTTGTGCCAGTAACTGAAAGGTCGCTGGTTCTAATCCCCGAGCTGACTAGGTGAAAAATCTGTCGATGTGCCCTTAAGCAAGGCACTTAACCCTAATTGCTCCTGTGAGTCGCTCTGGATAAGAGCGTCTGCTAATGACAAAAAAAAAAAAAAAAAAAAAAAAATTTGTTTGGTACCTACTGGAGAGCTCTTCTTTGTCTACACCCATTCAGCATCATTCCCACCCTCTTAAGCCTTAACCCCACCCATCTCTTTAAAGAGTCACATGTGAGACCATGTGCTAAACAGAGTGGGTAAGGTAGTGTAGTAAACAACCAAATATTTCAAGACTAAAAGTGGTGAAAGTAGTAGCAAAAAGTAGTAGTAAAAAAAAATGTTATCTATTCCTTGGCCTATATCCTAATGTGACTTTGGTGCAGGTCATGTTGTTCACATTACCGTCTCTGGTAAACACATACTATATCAAATAAAATCTAATTTTATTTGTCTCATGCACAGGATACAGAAGGTGTAAACGGTACAGTGAAATGGTTACTTGCATAGTGGAGCCTTTTGTTTAGACATGTAGCTAGCTAGCTAAACAATGAACCATAATCCCAACTATAATGCAGCGTAAAAAAAACTGGGAAAAATAGTTTTGAACGGTTATCCAACTCGGAATTCCAACTCGTGAACTCAGGCCTCTTTCTAGAGTTCCTACACAGATCATACACGTAATGTTAGCTAGCTAACTTGCAATGAAAATGACTTTCTGACAAAATTTGAAAACGTATACTGCTACCTAACTGTGTTCCGTACATCAGTGTTCCGTACGCTTGACCTTATTTTAGCGCCAAATAAATTAAATACTTCCAGGTCAACTGTAATATTAACACCATTGTAAAGGCCAATTTCTCCCCTTTCCAGCAAAATCAATGACGAGACCTCCACGCTCTGCATGATTGAAGAAAGCAATGGAGCTCTGCCGGGTCTTTTTAACAATGGCGGTGGGGGATGCGAAGGCTATTGAGTGATAGGGAAAGATATGTCGTTTGGGGAAACAGCTTTTTTCACCCGATTTGTCCAACTTAAAACCTCTAAAATGTCAATAAAACACTATAAAGAGTTTATATAATGTCTCATTACATACCTATTTGAAGGTTTGTCTAATTTTAATAGAGGTTTTAGGGCGGCGCTAAAGTTGTCTTCACACTTAAACTGCGGCTGTCACAGCTTTTGAGATGATGGCTTGCAGTGATGACACAAAAAATGTACTCTTGATTGAATTAACTGTTGATGAACTCACGAGTAATTAACTTGACACTCACCATTGATAATGTCTTGATAAATAAATAAATACCGTTAAATATTTGATTCACACAAAGTAGTGAACTTTATTTTGAGAGTGGTTGGACCCTAATTGCTCCTGTAAGTCGCTCTGGATAAGAGCATCTGCTAAATTACTAAAATGTAATGTAAATGTAATGTGATTCTGTTCAAAGAGATTAAGGAATATAATGTTACTTTATATAATGTTAATGAAGAAAGCATGAGAATGATTAGGGTTACTATTATAACTTCCAATAGCACGAGATAAATACTTTTATAAACTACTTAATGTTAGTAAATTACTGTATAAAGCAACTATTAATATAAAAAATAAATTAAACTAACAGTTGTAACACCAACTCACTCCATCATATACACTGAGTGTACATGAACACCTGCTCTTTCCATGAAATATGCAATAACATTATGTTGGATTACATGGAAATGATATCCACATTTGTGAGTCCATTTCCTTGGCACTATCTTAATAAATTATGTCGCATGAACACAAAAAAAAAAAACTTGTTTCATTGTATTATGACAGGAAATGTCTGGAAAGGGAATGGCCCAACAAGCCCAAGAAACAGCACCACTACACCCCCGAACAGGAAGTGAAGGCAGGGAAGAGCCTGAGGGAGGTGGCTCGTACCTCCTGTCAGTACCTGTTTTTACAGGGAAGCCAATGGTCCAAAAACATTCCACGTAGTTCATACAGTAACTATTGCAGTTTGGTGACATGCTGTTTTTTAGGGAGTCCTGTTCATTTTCTTCACCTGTGCACAATCAAGAGTAGAAAGGGAGGCACGCAGGAATGTCGCGTCTCATTTTGGGTTAGAGCATGTCATTTGCAAACGAGTTTAGTAGATGGCACACGTGAGATTTTAGGACATGCGTTATTGACATGCACATGAGAGTTCAGAATTATTGAACACAACTCTCGTGAATAGGTTGGCACAGCAAACGTGAGAGCAAAAAATCGAAAGCTCTTTGTGAGCAGGTATGACGGGTTTGCTTGTGTAAATTTAGATCAGAGGATGGCGCAGTGGTATTCTTTTTAAGATTCTGCACAAAGTATTTTATTCAATTCATTATTTATTGATTCAGTGTTTGTGTTATTGATGACCACATTGCTATTAGAACCCTACTCATGAAAGATGTTTAATATTAGCCATAATAATATGAATACTAATGCTCATTGAAACGAAAATCATGAATAATTAAGTGTATATGGTTAAGCATGTTTTTAATCTACGAGAGAAGCGCTACCCCTGGTGGAATGATGATGTACGGCAGCGTTGATGTAACGTACAGCGTTAGAGGGGTCCGTAAAAAAAAAAAAAAAAAAAAAGCTTTTCTCTAATACTATTGACTCATTACCATGTCAATCAACGCTTGAACAGAAACAGCTTATACCCCGGATTTTAATGCCAACATAGTCGCTACAGTCCCATTAGTTTTCATTACAGCCTCGTTTGAATGCCGCGGTTACGCAAAATGTGTACTGAACACACTGTCAAGTGTTTTATACAACAGCCTTCTTTCTGTGTTCTCTTTTTGGACTATCTTCCACCGGGCATTCCACTGATTTCAAAACTCTGTAAACTTATTCCGTGACAACGACACAGTTTCTTCCCCACCATTGTCATCAGAAAACTCTACAATGTCTGGTTCAATGAGAATGTTTTTACCTAAATCAGGGATTTCCTCATTCTGATTTATTTTCAGAGTCAGCATGGCATGATCATCCTCCAGAAAGTAGTCCATCACATTAACTTCAGGGCAGCAATGTTGAAAGTTGTAGCAAAACCTTCATGATATCTTTCAAAAAAAGCAGCGGTAGACAGGATTACCCACACATACTTAGCAGCTCATGTTATAGACAGAAGCATGCTACATGGCAGACCAATCCTCTCTCTTCTCTCGGCATGTCCAGCCCATCCATTATCTCAGCCAATCATGGCTAGCGGGAAGGTTCCTGTATTTTTCCGTGGCTAAACCAACTAGGCTTGTTATTTAACATTTGTATTTGTTTTTACAGATGGCATGCTTGTTTGTTATTAAGACACATGAAAGTTATCATGTTCCAGAAGGCTTTTCTGCCTCCAAAGTTTTAATTTTTTTAAATGTTCAAATGCCTCTCTTGTGAAGAAGTGACGTGCGACATACACCTAGTTTCTTGAAACGGGTCACATATAGAGGGCCTTCATTTGTATGCTGATGATCAGTGCTAGGATGCCAATTGACAAATACAAATTATCTTGCTCCTATCCATAATCTCATCATGCACTGTGTCTGCGAGCTGATGGCTAGAGTGCACGTGCCAAGACCCGAGGGGGCAGATTTGCTGTTTATCGCAGACTTTTTGTGCCAAAACCATCGACAGAGATAAAAATGGGATGGAAACACACAACTTTAGTTGTTTTATTCGGTAAATGAAAAGTTATACGACTAAATGCTTTTTATGTGCACTACGTCACCGTGCACAACCTTTTATTCACAATAAGTCAGTATGATGGATGGAAACACCTGTGGTGGGCAAATGCGCATATTCATTTAATGCAGATTTTAGAATATTTGCATGAAAATCTGTCGCAAATTGGATGGAAAACCTAGTTTGTGAGATGATTTGTTTCCTCTGTATCAAATGGTGTCTTCATTACGTTAATGCACAGTTCAGAGAATCATGCTCTTCAGGGGTGAATGGCGATATTTCCATTGGATAGGCCTAAAACTCCTGATGAGTGTTTATACAGTAAAACAATACTTTCTGTTTGAAAATCCCGTCATCATCAGGCCTCCACATATTACTCTAGTTAATGTGTGCCATGATTAACCCCAAAATGGACTACATCAAGGCGGATCCAGGTATTAACATTTATCAGAAACAATGTTATCTGAGAAAATCATGGATTCTGAGGTTACTATTGATGGTGTTAGAGTATTCAAGGCTGATAGAATGGGCAAAGGTGGTGGTGTTTCTATCTATACAAAAAGTCACCTTTGTGTCTCTTTTTTAAAGGCTTCTTCCAGTCTTAAACTATTTGAATTTCTAGCTTTAAGTCTTCGACTAGGTTCTAATTGTAAAGTAACTCTTCTGGGAGTCTACCGCCCTCCCTCCGCTAAGAAATGTTTGTTAACTAGTCACACTGACTTAATAGCTTATTTTTCTACTTCTGAGATGTTTGTCCCAGGTGACTTGAATCTGTCCTGGGGAACCCAAGACTCAGACGGTTTAATGGATTTTTGGAATAACCTAAATCTCACTCAGTTGATTACCAAGCCCACACGTCTAAATCAGAGGGATCCTACGAAATCAACATTAATTGACCTTACGTTTACAAATACTCCAGAGAAATTTGTGGTTAGTGGTGTTTTCTCCCAGGATATTAGCGATCACTGTCCTATTGTTTGTATTAAAGATGTTAGGACTCATTGGGCAAAACCATGCATTATTACAAAGAGACATTTTAAAATGTTTAGTGAACAAGCTTTTTTACATGATCTCTACCATTGTGATCTTAAAGGTATCTTAGCTATACCAGATTCTAAATAGGCTCTTAACCACTTTATTACTGTTTTTAAAAACATTGCAGATAAGCATGCCCCGTTTAAAAAAAACGGAGAGCTCAAAGTAGGTTGAACACTTGGTTCACACCTGATTTTATGAGTTCATACGCAATAGAGATGCTGCCTGGGCTATGGCTAGAAGTACTGACTCCGGCCGGGACTGGCAATCCTTCAGAGAATTGACAAATCTATGTGGGAAACTTGTTCGAAAAGCGAAATCTGATTAGGATACTAACACTATAGCTGACTGTACTGGAAATCAATATAAATTCTGGAAAGTCATTAACCCCCTAAGGTAGATACCGCTCTCCCGCATAAATGTAATTAACATAATACAAAAATCCCCATAAAAATACGTCAGTTTAAGCTAGAGATATCGTTGCATTGGGTGCGGCTCAATCCACTGCAGCCGCCTATGTAACACTTCCGCATCTGCGATGAAAGGTGACAGAGCTTGAGTGTTGTTTGTCAGACCATGAAACACCCCCCTACATTTATTTTATGGAGACTGTTAAGTGAAAAAAAAGGGTTTAAATACATGTGTCAGCAACGGGTGTGACTGAAATAGCCAAATCCACTAATTTGAAGGGGTGTCCACATACTTTTGTATATATAGTGTAGGTTCTGATTTTTTTGGTTCAATTGAGAGGAATTTGTCTAAATTTTTACGTTCAATAATATCACGTTAGGCTATTTCATCTGGGGCTAATTCACCTGAAGAAGAGGAAACTCAAAACACATTAGCTAGATCGCAAACTCTAAATATAATACAATTGTATTTTGAGATGTTATACAATCAGAATGCATTTTTCTCAAATGAAAGGGTTGCAAAATGTGTCAACATTTTTGGCACTCTGGAGCCCTGATATCAAACCAGACCTTTCTACCAAAGTCAAAAAAAGCCAAAACAGTCCACTTCATAGTCTCCCATCTCTATTACAGTTCAATTCCGTTAAAGCTTCTACATTCTTAATCTTCATTCTTCCCTCCCTTTCCTCTTCGTCCCAGGTGCCGACCATTCTGAACGCGCTACAGAGGAGCGTGCAGGCCGTGCTGGTGGGCAAGATCCAGATCCAGGACTGGTTCGGCAACGGCATCAAGCGGGCGGCGCTGATGAACAAGTGGGTACTGAAGGAGGTGACGATCGACGAGGATGAGCGCTGCCTGCTGCAGACCGACGGCTCCTTCCTCTACCTGCTCTGCAAGGACGGCCTCTACAAAGTGGGCTCCGGCTACAGCGGCACAGTCAGGGTACGTGGGGTTGGGTATAGGAGGGTTGATGTGAGAGAGAGAGCGTATATGCTACCTGCTCTGCAAGGACGGCCTCTACAAAGTGGGCTCCGGCTACAAAAGTGACACATCCTTGCTCACTGCAGGCATAGTCCTCATAGTTTCTTTGCCAGTTTATATAGAAAGGTTTTTAAAGCATTTTTGTAACGCTATGCTCTTCTACAGCAACAATGGTTTTATGACTCTGTACCTCTGCTTTAAAGATGACAGGCTTGTCGAAGTGAAAAGTAGATTACAGCACACACGAAATAAGACTTTTTTTTTTTTTTAATTTTTTTTTACATTTAGCAGACGCTCTTATCCAGAGCGACTTACAGGAGCAATTAGGGTTAAGTGCCTTGGGCACATCGACAGATTTTCACCTAGTCTGCTCGGGGATTAGAACCAGCGACCTTTCGGTTACTGGCACAACGCTCTTAACCACTAAGCTACCTGCCGCCCCCCTTCATCATACCTAAGTTCTTACAAAGCATTATGTAGATCCTTCCATTGACTTTTGATCACACAGTAATAGGTCATTGAGTCAGGACTTTTCAAAAACATATCTCCGAGCAAATGCTCCAGTTACTGCCCCAGTTGGTCGATAAGAGGAGACTCTCCATAATAGCACTCTGCTGTTCTAAAGTAGTAGAATAAATAAAATATTTGACACTAACTTCCCCCAGATTCCATAATCATTCTCTCATTTCTGAGGAGAATGATTGTTGATGCCACATAGTGCTGACACAGAGGACCATACATCATTGAGGGAACATATTTGTGTCTAACGTTTGGCTGTGCGTTTGTGGTTGCACTCTAAAATTGGATCAGTGTGTGTGTGTGTATTCCAGGGTCATGTGTATAATTCCACATCACGCATCAGGAATCGGAAGGAGAAGAGATCATGGTTGGGTTTCGCTCAGGTAACTTAACCTCCGGATTCTGTTTTCATAATGTGGAATCAAAATAAGATTAACACTAAAATTAAGACTATAGGCAACCTGGAATTCTATTTCATCGCGAGTTATGGTTGTCTTGTACAACGCCGTTTGCTCACTGCATTGATTTTGATCACCCCCCATTTGACCCAATAAACATGGTTGCTGATCTGTATGATTGTGACAAATGCAGTCCTAAAAGTAGTGTGTGTGTATGTGTATATATATATATATATATATATATATATATATATATATATATATATATATATATATATATATATATATATATATATATATATATTTTAAAAAAATATTGATTGATTGTGTGCGTGCAGGGCTGCCTGTTGTACCGGGATATGAGTAACAACCACAGTACGTCGGCCATCAAGATCAACCCAGAGACTCTGGAGCACGAGGGGACCATCACCATGCCAGGTACATGACAACACACAGTAACACCTCCTTCTCCCCCATATTGTGTGTTATAATAAACAATGCATGGATTTTTTTTCATGCACCAGTTTTTTTTTGTTTTTTTGTAATGACTATTGTCTTGAACCAGTGAACAAGGCCTCTTTGAAAATAGATTTTATCTTGAGATTAACTTGGATACATTTAATAATAATATTTAAGGCTCATAAAACTAATAGGTGCTTTTAACCCGATTGACCAGTGATTGACAATATACCCTTTAGCCAGTTATCATATCATTAATATACGCTAAAATAAGGCTTGTACCTACAATATTTCAATATTCCTGATTGAACTAGGAAAGGATTGAAAGGGAACCAAATGGACAAATAGCCACAGGACAAGGATGGCTACATAGCTTTATCGATTCAATGTGCAGACAACACTTGAAACACTATCTGTTTTTTACAGTATGCAAAAAAATTGTACCGTATCAAGGACGGACACTTTAATTAATAAAAAAATAATAAGGTTGTATTAACGGAAACGGAGGCCAATGCACAACGTTTCGGCTGAATTCCTTTGTCAAGAACATGACAAATTCATCTCCCTCTTCTTTGTATATTATAACTAATCTCATCTTGCTCACTCTGTCCTCTCCATAGGCCTACAGGCAGACGGCCAGAACATAGTCTTCACCGATGGAGAGTACATCAACCAGATTGCTGCCTGCAAAGATGTGAGTCTCCTCATTCTCTATCACACACACACACACCTACCTACCTGCTCCAGGGGCGCTAAAGTATTCTTCCATTCTTTTATTTTTTTGCTTCTTGAGAGAGAGGAGTTGATAGGGCCAATACGTACAAACAACTCCCACTCCTCAAATGGTTATTATACTATAATGTAGAGAGCTGCTGGCCCCGACAGAGATCATAACGGCGTGGTCAGCATTTTTCCTGCTGTGGCCTTGAGCAGGCGGTCAGACTACTTCAGGATGAAAATATTTGGTAACACTTTACTTGACACCCAGCTTCATAGAGTACTAGGTCCAAAAGGCTCCTTAACAGCTTCTACTCCCAAGCTATAAGACTGCTGAACAATTAATCAAATGGCCGCTATTTACATTGACCCCCCCCTACTCGCTGTTGATTATCTATGCATAGTCACTTTACCCCTACCTACATGTACAAATTACATTGACTAACCTGTACCCCCGCACATTGACTCGGTACCGGTACCCCCTGTATATAGCCTCGTTATTGTGTTACTTTTTATTTTATTTTTTACTTTTGTTTATTTGGTAAATATTTGCATTGTTGGTTAAGTGCTTGTTAGTAAGCATTTCATGGTAAAGTCTACACCTTTTTGTATTCGGCGCATGTGACAAATACAATTTGATTTGATTTCAGGTGCAGGGCAAGACACCCTCTTTTTGACTGATGACTGACATAAGGGCATGTACGTGATAGGCCTATCTGGCTTATATGATTATGATGGTCATAATGCTTCTTGACCGTGTCATAAAGTGCATTTTCTTAGTCCCAAGTAAAGTGACACAGGATGGTCATAATGCTTCATGTGTCTGTACCTTTGTGTGTGTCTCTTATCTGTCCCCGTTGTTCCATAAGGTGTATTTTTACCTTTTAAAATGTATTTATTTATCTGATTTTAGTGTTTGCATCAGTTACCGGTTGTGGAATAGAGTGCCATGTAGTCATTGCTCTATGTAGTACTGTGTGCCTCCCGTAGTCTGTTCTGGACTTGGGGACTGTCAAGAGACCTCTGGTGGCATGTCTTGTGGGGTATGCATGGGTGTCCGAGCTGTGTGCTAGTATTTTAAACAGACAGCTCGGTATATTCAGCTTGTCAGCACCTCTTACAAAAACAAGTAGTTATGAAGTCCATCTCTCTTCAGCTTTGAGCCATGAGAGAATTTTAGCTCTCCGTGTACTTTTAAGGGCCAGCCGTGCTGCCCTGTTCTGAGCCAACTACAATCCCTCTTTGTGGCACCTGACCACACTACTGAACAGTAGTCTAGGTGCGACAAAACTAGGGCCTATAGGACCTGCATTGTTGATAGTGTTGTTAAGAAGGCAGAGCAGCTCTTTATTATGGACAGACTTCTCCCCATCTTAGCTACTGTTGTATAAATATGTTTTGACCATGACAGTTTACTCCAAGCAATTTAGTCACTTCAACTTTCACATTATTCATTGCGAGATGTAGTTGAGGTTTAGGGTTTAGTGAATGATTTGTCCCAAATACAATGCTTTTAGTTTTGGAAATATTTAGGATTAACTTACTCCTTGCTACCCATTCCGAAATGAACTGCAGCTCTTTAAGTGTTGCAGTCATTTCAGTTCCTGTAATAACTAAAGTGTATAGTGTTGAGTCATCCGCATACATAGACACACTGGCTTTATTCAAAGCCAGTGGCATGTCATTAGTAAAGATTGAAAAAAAGTAAGGGCCTAGACAGCTGCCCTGGGGAATTTCTGATTCTACCTGGATTATGTTGGAGAGGCTTGCATTAAAGAACACCCTCTGTGTTCTGTTAGACATGTAACTCTTTGTCCACATTATAGCAGGGGGTGTAAAGCCATAACACATACGTTTTTCCAGCAGCAGACTATGATCTATAAAGTCAAAAGCTGCACTGAAGTCTAACAAGACAGCCCCCACAATCATTTTATCATCAATTTCTCTCAGCCAATCATCAGTCATTTGTGTAAGTGCTGTGCTTGTTGAGTGTCCTTCCCTATAAGCATGCTGAAAGTCTGTCAATTTGTTTACTGTAAAATAGCCTTGTATCTGGTCAAACACCATTTTTTCCAGAAGTTTACTACAGGTTGGTAACAGGCTGATTCGTAAGCTATTTTAGCCAGTAAAAGGGGCTTTAATATTCTTGGGTAGCGGAATGACTTTTGCTTCCCTCCAGGCCTGAGGGCACACACTTTCTAGTAGGCTTAAATTGAAGATATGGCAAATAGGAGTGGCAATATACTATCCACTATTATCCTCAGTAATTTTCCATCCAGATTGTCAGACCGGTGGCTTGTCATTGTTGATGGACGACAATAATTATTTCACTTCTTCCACACTGACTTTACGGAATTCTCGTCTTTCATAATTTGGTCAGATATACATGGATGTGTATTGTCAGCGTTTGTTGCTGGTATGTCATACCTAAGTTTGCTTATCTTGCCAATGAAAAAGTCATTAAGGTAGTTGGCAATATCAGTGGGTTTTGTGATGAGTGAGACATCTGATTCTATGAATAATGGAGCCGAGTTTGCCTTTTTCCAAAACATTTCAGTTAAGGTGATTCAAAGCTTTTTACTATCATTCTTATATTATTTATTTTTGTTTCATAGTATAGTTTATTTTTATTTCGTTTAGTCACATGATTTCTTAATTTGCAGTACGTTTGCCAATCGATTGAGCTGCCAGACTTATTTGCCATACCTTTTTTCCTAATTTACATTTACATCATTTAGCAGACGCTCATCCCTCTCAACCATACACTTTTTTAATTCCTTGTCAATCCAAGGGGATTTAACAGTTTTTACAGTCATTTTCTTAATGGTTGCATGCTTATTAGTAACTGGAATAAGGAATATCATAAATGTGTCAAGTGCAGCGTCCGGTTGCTCCTCATTACACACCACAGACCAGCAAATATTATTTACATCATCAACATAAGAATCACTACAAAACTTATTGTATGACCTCTTATACACTATATTAGGCCCAGCCTTTGGAACTTTGGTTTTCCTAGATATGGCTACTATATTGTGATCATTACATCCTATGGATTTGGATACTGCTTTAAATCAAATTTCTGCAGCATTAGTAAAGATGTGATCAATACATGTTGATGATTTAATTCCTGTGCTATTTCTAACTACCCTGGTAGGTTGACTGACAACCTGAACCAGGTTGCAGGCACAGGTTACATGTTTGAAGCTTTTTCTTGATGAAAGCCAGTCAATATTTAAATCACCTAGAAAATATATATCTCTGTTGATATCACTTACATTATCAAGCATTTCATAAATGTTATCCAGATACTGACTGTTAGCACTTGGTGGTCTATAGCAGCTTCCCACAAGAATGGGCTTTAGGTGAGGCATATTACTTCAACAGTATTTAACATGAGATCCTCTCTAATCTTTACAGGAATGCGGTTGTGAATATAGACCGCAACACTGCCCCCGTTGGCATTTCTGTCTTTTCGGTAGATGTTATAGCCATGTATTGCTACAACTTTATCATCAAAGGTATTATTTAAGTGAGTTTCAGAGATAGTCAGAATATGAATGTCATCTGTTACAAGAAAGTTATTTACTTCATGAACCTTGTTTCTTAGTCTACATATGTTCATATGGGTTATTTTTAGCACTTTTCTGGGTTACTTGATTGTTTTTAATGCATTACTGGGAAGCTTATCAGAAGTAGACTTGCTCATGTTATTTCTATTGGAACTGGTAGTGCACAGTGAGCTGCACACAGTGGACTTTCTACTAGTGCACACCGCCTTAGTGCTAACAGTGTAACTCCGGTTCATAGGCACATGATTACGGCATATAATAGCTGTATGATCAACAGAGGTATTCAGGGCAGTTAGGGGGACATAAGTTACTTAGATTGTGTCTGCCAACGCTCCTGGGATAATGTACATTTGATGCAGCATTATGACAACTCATTGTCACAATGGTAGGGATTAACTGAGCTGGTCTTGGGTCATTGAGAAGTCATTGTTTCAACGCAGCCTTGAAATGCGTGGACAGAGTCCAGGAGCCAAGATGATTTGGATGGTCATTCCTGTAGAGTATCTTCTGTTTCCAGAAGGTATCAAAGTTATCTACAAAAGTGATTCCAACAGAGCTACAGTAATCTTTTAGCCAGATGTGTAATGCCAGTAGACTCCTGAATCTTTCACACCCGTGGCCCAATGATGGTACCGGACTTGAAATTATTGGCCACTTTTTGGAATCTTTCAATGCTAGAATCAGTTCGTTAAAATCAATTTCAGAATTTCTGAGCTAGCCCTCCTGATGTCTTTTGACCCCACTTGGACTACTACAGCGTCAGCTCCTGGCATCTATCGTAGAATGGTTGAAGCAGCCCTGTAATGTCCTGTACTCGTGCTCCTGGGTTGCACAGGGTTTTTGCACTGGGAACCGAGATGTTTCTCACCATAGAGCTGCCGATGATGACATCTGGTGAAACAGCCGGGGAGGTCCTGACGTTCTTTCGCCTCGAGTGGTTTAAAAGACACCTCGAGGACCGTAGGTTGGTGTGGCCCGATGGACCATAGCCGGCTGTAGTATATATGCTGGAGAACCCCTGGGCTGGAGACAGGGTAGAGGATGAAGGAGCATGAATCTCTGGAAGCAGGTGGGCGAAGCTGTTGGTCAGCAGGATGGGATCCTCCAAAGCCATTTCAGCCAATTCACCAAAGACCCATGCCTTGCGCAGGGCTTACAGTGTGTGACGTGCCTCCACTGGGATGCAGGATCGATAACCGTGGCATCCGCCAGCTCCTCATAAAGCATCCTTGCTCCTTTTTTCTCAGAGAGGGGTGGGCAGGAAGGTCAGGGTTGGATGGGGAGCGCAGGTGAGATGGGAGGGGAGAGGTGACTTCACTAGGGAGGGGTCTCTGCAGGGCAGCTCTGCCCAGTCAGTCATAAGAGTGGCAACATGGTGGCGAGGCAGTGGCACGACGACCAAACTGAGGAGTAGAAAAGGTCTAAGAGTGGGACCTATCCAGGATACGCACCAATGTCTCAATTTTCTTACTCTGGACGTCCAGCTCAGACATGTATTCCTCAATAAGCTGAATGTTTTCACATTGGAAATATGGCTGGACAATATTATCTCAGAACTGTGAAAAATAGGTGCAGCTCCTACATGGGATGAAACATTCACCGTAGGCTCTGAAGGTGGTTGCTGCCAATCTGGATAAAGTCAGTTTCCCCTTATGGCGGAAAGTGGTAGACGACATTTTGGAACAATTCTGTTAAAATCCACGCAAATAAAATAGGTTGTAGAGGAATCAGCTAAAAGTCAATCAATCCACACAGTGTGATAGTCAGTTAGATTGAATCACACAGTTTGTAGGATCACCACAGTCATAGGCAGCGAGCCAGAACCCAACCACAGACTAGAAACCAGCCAGCAATAGCACCCACAATAAACACAACCAAGGCCCAAAACTCGCCAGCATAACAACCGCAAGGAGAGAGCGGTGACTTACTCAATGCGATTGAATGTTGGGACCCATCAGCAACGCAATGGAGGCCGTGTTACCAGTATTACAGCCAGGAGAGAAGCACCTTGGAGGGGACGTAGTTTCCAGTACAGGTCGGTGGAAAGCCGGGAGGGTGGCAAGCACTACACCGGGACACAGAAGAGTCAAAAATAGTAAATCCAAGTGGAGTTCAAGTTAGGTAGTAGTCCAAAAACATCCAAGGCACATTGTCAAGTGGAAGGCACAATGTCAAGTGGAAGGATGAAAGCAGTAGTAGGCAGGTGTCTGCTCAGATAATGCCCCAGTGCAGAGTAGAGTGCCCAGGTATATCCAAGTAGGCCTCAAAAGTTTCAGCAGACCTGTTTTGTATGTCTCCTTAAAAACTCTGTATGCAATATTGCACTATTGTACAATGTGTTCACAGCCAGATGAAACAAAGGTAAATGGAGACACAAATCCACCAAAAACGTTTCAGCTACAAACACTGATCAGACAAAAAAAAGACATGCTTGCCGCCATCTTGAAAAGTGTGTGTGTCTCAGAATGGTATCAGATCAACAAGTTGTAGAAACTTCTGAAGGATGATCATAGGAAACAGGATGCACCTGAGCTCAATTTAGAGTCATAGCAAAGGGTCTGAATACTTACGTAAATAAGGGGGTCTGTTTAAAAAAACAAAAAAGTTAGCAGAAATTTCGAAAAACCTGTTTGCTTTGTCATTATGGGGTATTGTGTGTAGATTGATAAAAAAAATTTAATCGGTTTTAAAATACGGCTGTAACGTAACAAAATTTGGAAAATGTCAAGGGGTCTGAATACTTTCCGATTGCACTGTACGTGTCAGCAACCACAGCTAATGAAGTCACTGAAACCCTTAACAAGGAGTCGCAGTCAGTTTTGGAATGGGTGGCCAGTAATAAACTGGTCCTAAACATCTCTAAAACATTGTATTTGGTAAAAATCATTCCCTAAGCTCCAGACCTCGGCTGAATCTGGAAATGAATGATGTGTCTGTTGAACAAGTTGAGGATACAAAATTACTTGGTGTTAGCTTAGATTGTAAACTGCCATGGTCAAAACATATAGTTTAATTGGTTGTAAAGATGGGGAGAGGTCTGTCCATAATAAAGAGATGCTCTGCTTTTTTGACACCACACTCCACAAAGCAAGTCCTATAGGCTCTAGTTTTGTATTATCTTGATTATTGTCCGGTCGTGGTCAAGTGCTGCAAAGAAAGACCTAGTTAAAGGAAAAATCCACCCAAAATCACTAATTCCTTTAATTTACAGCCTTAAATAACACTAATATGTGAACAATATTTTTTGTGAACAAATGTTTCATTTTGGCATAATAATAGGGTTGGTAGCAACATGGAAAATCGTTGTGGAAATGTAGATGCAGCTCAAGTCGACTACAAAATTCGCAATGCGCTCTCTATGGGCTGGCCAGCTAGCTAGGCAAATATACCTACACACAGTAATACCAAAGACACTAGTAGCTAGTTAACTTTAAAATCGCTCAAACAAACTGCACTATCAATTTAGGAGTCTACAATCTCACCATGTTCAACTTTCTGTGCGATTCTGGGACAAGGAGCGCTCTCCTTCAAGGAGTGAACAGGAGTCTATTGGGCGCTAGCTCAAAAACCCAACATTAGCACACATTTCGTCAACAAGAAGTACAACATTACAAACCTTTTCCGAGATGTTAGATAGTATGTTAATTATCTGTAATATCGTATAGCTTTGGAATCGTGACATCATGTACTTTAGAAGAAAATAGACAAGTTTCTCGACATATACACTGACTTTGAGAAGGGATTGTGTGACGATAAGCTTAGCAACCACGTGATGCAGCATGACAACGTGAACGCGATTGGTCGACAGTGTGCTCGGTGGGGCGTTTATACATTCCTTTATTCATTGGATTCCGATCGCCTTTCTATAATATCTCTGGTAACGGCACCATGCAATGCACCCTGGACTAAAGAGGCAGACAAATAGGAAAACTGTACTAGACCCACCTTAAAATTAAACATTTCTCGAGGTAGGAGTATCGCAAAAATATGATCAATGGCTCATTCGAGAGAAGACATCCCCCCCAGAGTTATCGGCCGGTATTGAAATCTGACATGTATAACAGACATTTTTGTGATCTAAAAGTCATATACCTATTAACTTCCAGTGTAGTGAGAGCGACTTTATCAAAGTGTTACATCATACCGGCCAGATCTTTGCTTGCTTGAACGGCAATAACTCAGATAAATATGAAATTATCCAGGGAATCGATAGAACATCACTCAGAGATGCACAAAAACAATATAACATTCAAAATGGGTGAACCTTTTCTTTAAGCTGCAGCTAGCCCAGAACAGAATGGCACGTCTTGCTCTTCATGGGCTAATATAAATATTTTGCGTGCCAGTCTCTCTTGGCAAAGAGTTGAGGAGAGACTAACGACATCATTTCTTTTTATAAGAAACATTGTGTTAAATTCCAAATTGTTTGCAGAATCAACTTACACACAGCTCTGACACACACACTTACCCCACCAGACATGCCACCAGGGGTCTTTTCACAGTCCCCAAATCCAGAAGCAATTCAAGAAAGCGTACAGTATTATATAGAGCCATTATTGCACGGAACTCCCATCTCATATTGCTCAAATGAACAGCGAACTTGGTTTAAAAAAAACCCCAGATAAAACAATACCTCACGGCACAACACCTCTCCCATATTGGACCTAGATATTTTTTATGTAGGCTATGTGTGCCGTTTTAAAATGTATATAGTTCTGTCCTTTAGCTGTTCTTGTCTATTAATGTTCTGTATTATGACATGGAAGAGTAGCTGCTGCTTTTGCAACAGCTAATTTGGATCCTAATATAATACCAAAAATACCATGTCATGGCAAAATGGGTAGAATTGCAGGAAATTTGCTGTAAAACTGCAACAGAGAAATCTGTACATCAAACTTATTTGTTTACCTTTTGTTAATGAAGTATTTTTTATTTTAACAGATCCCTCTGTACGTATGAAATTATAGTTTTTAATCCCGGTGCTGAGTTAATGGGTAGCGGCTAATTGCATACTGTAGCTAATAGGCTATGTGTTTGCAGATGAACTGAGGTTACATTTACATTTACATTTACGTCATTTAGCAGACGCTCTTATCCAGAGCGACTTACAAATTGGTGCATTCACCCTATAGCCAGTGGGTTAACCACTTTACAATATATATATATTTTTAATAAAGTTACATGCAACCAATGTGATAATGAATGGGGTCATCTTTGTTTGTTTTTGCCGTGCTCCAAATAGCAATTTAGTGTTTTGAAATTGTATAGAAATGCAGTAAATGACCTTAAACTTTGTTAAAATAGGCACAAAAAGTCAGACCCTGCGGTATGGAGAAAGCAGTCCCACGCAGAACTCTACTATAGAGTGAGTGAGAGAGAATGAGTGAGTGAGAATGAGAGAGACCCTAGTTACCTCAGTCCCAGGCATCACTCTGTCCCCTCTTACAGCTCCGTCACAGAGAGAAGGGGTGTGTTTTTGTATTTTTCTGTGTGTGTATAAGGACAAACGCCTAGTAAACCAGCATGTCACCATACTCTCCAGGGTTAATCCTCCCAGGCAGATGTAGGTCTATACATTCATGAGTAGTAAGCAGAGATACAGGGGTGGGGGAGGACCTTACATTTATTTCAACTATGAAGCCTTATGCATGGGTATGTGATCAGTCCCTGGATAAAAGAGGGCGGGGGTGGGGTTGAACGTGTGATAGAGAGATGCTGCTGATGAGAGGAGCATATCTACCTTCCGCAGAGGAGGGAGATAGGCAGTAAAGGGAGGGGCAAGGGCAATCCGAGGGGAGGAGGAGAAGGAGGGGCTAGGCAGTGGATATCTTACAGAAATGGGATGGGATGACGGGAAGAAGAGCATGTGCTCAGCTCAGCAGGAATCAAAGCACAGTGGAGAACCGTGTCATCACACCAGCATGGCCCCAGTCCAGCTTCTGTCTATCATGGCCCAGCCCCCCTAATACGTTACCTTACAGAATCTCATCACTGTCACCGACTCGCTCTCTCCTTCATTCTTTTCACGAGCATGCAGAGAATGGGGTTCTAAACATTTTAATAAAATACATTTCAGGTAGGCTACTAGCAACGTCTCATATATTTAACACTACATGACCAAAAGTATGTGGACACCTGTTCGTCCAACACACCGATCTCGACAAACCGTTTCTGTATGGACCTCGCTTTGTGCACGGGGGCATTGTCATGCTGAAACAGGAAAGGCACTTCCCCCAACTGTTGCCACAAAGTTGGAAGCACATAATCTTCCCTTCACTGGAACTAAGGAGCCTAGCCCGGACCATGAAAAACAGCCCCAGACCATTAATCCTCCTCTGCCAAACTTTACAGTTGGCACTATGCATCGAGGCAGGTAGTGTTCTCCTGGCATCCGCCAAACCTAGATTCGTCCGTCGGACTGCCAGATGGTGAAGCGTGATTCCACTGTTCCAGAGTCCAATGTTGGCGAGCTTTACTCCACTAGCCGATGCTTAGCATTGCGCATGGTGATCTTAGGCTTGTGTGCGGCTGCTCAGCCGTGGAAACCCATTTCATGAAGCTCCCGACAAACAGTTCTTATGCTGATGTTGCTTCCAGAGGCAGTTTGGAACTCGGTAGTGAGTGTTGCAACCCAGGACAGACTATTTTTACGCACTATGTGCTTCAGCACTCGCCGGTCCCGTTCTGTGAGCTTGTGTGGCCTACCACTTTGCGGCTGAGCTGTTGTTGCTCCTAGACATTTCCACTTCATAATTACAGCACTTACAGTTGACCGGGGCAGCTCTAGAAGGGCAGAAATTTGACTAACTGACTTGTAGGAAAGGTGGCATCCTATGACGGTGCCATGTCCACATACCTTTGTATATACAGTGGGGGAAAAAAGTATTTAGTCAGCCACCAATTGTGCAAGTTCTCCCACTTAAAAAGATGAGAGAGGCCTGTAATTTTCATCATAGGTTCACGTCAACTATGACAGACAAATTGAGGGGAAAAAATCCAGAAAACCACATTGTAGGATTTTTAATGAATTTATTTGCAAATTATGGTGGAAAATAAGTATTTGGTCACCTACAAACAAGCAAGATTTCTGGCTCTCACAGACCTGTAACTTCTTCTTTAAGAGGCTCCTCTGTCCTCCACTCGTTACCTGTATTAATGGCACCTGTTTGAACTTGTTATCAGTATAAAAGACACCTGTCCACAACCTCAAACAGTCACACTCCAAACTCCACTATGGCCAAGACCAAAGAGCTGTCAAAGGACACCAGAAACAAAATTGTAGACCTGCACCAGGCTGGGAAGACTGAATCTGCAATAGGTAAGCAGCTTGGTTTGAAGAAATCAACTGTGGGAGCAATTATTAGGAAATGGAAGACATACAAGACCACTGATAATCTCCCTTGATCTGGGGCTCCACGCAAGATCTCACCCCGTGGGGTCAAAATGATCACAAGAACGGTGAGCAAAAATCCCAGAACCACACGGGGGGACCTAGTGAATGACCTGCAGAGAGCTGGGACCAAAGTAACAAAGCCTACCATCAGTAACACACTACGCCGCCAGGGACTCAAATCCTGCAGTGCCAGACGTGTCCCCCTGCTTAAGCCAGTACATGTCCAGGCCCGTCTGAAGTTTGCTAGAGTGCATTTGGATGATCCAGAAGAGGATTGGGAGAATGTCATATGGTCAGATGAAACCAAAATATAACTTTTTGGTAAAAACTCAACTCGTCGTGTTTGGAGGGCAAAGAATGCTGAGTTGTATCCAAAGAACACCATACCTACTGTGAAGCATGGGGGTGGAAACATCATGCTTTGGGGCTGTTTTTCTGCAAAGGGACCAGGACCACTGATCCGTGTAAAGGAAAGAGTGAATGGGGCCATGTATCGTGAGATTTTGAGTGAAAACCTCCTTCCATCAGCAAGTGCATTGAAGATGAAACGTGGCTGGGTCTTTCAGCATGACAATGATCCCAAACACACCCCCCCAGGGAAACGAAGGAGTGGCTTCGTAAGAAGCATTTCAAGGTCCTGGAGTGGCCTAGCCAGTCTCCAGATCTCAACCCCATAGAAAATCTTTGGAGGGAGTTGAAAGTCTGTTGCCCAGCGACAGCCCCAAAACATCACTGCTCTAGAGGAGATCTGCATGGAGGAATGGGCCAAAATACCAGCAACAGTGTGTGTAAACCTTGTGAAGACTTACAGAAAATGTTTGACCTGTGTCATTGCCAACAAAGGGTATATAACAAAGTATTGAGAAACTTTTGATATTGACCAAATACTTATTTTCCACCTTAATTTGCAAATAAATTCATTAAAAGTCCTACAATGTGATTTTTCTGGATTTTTTCTCCTCATTTTTTCTGTCATAGTTGACGTGTACCTATGATGAAAATTACAGGCCTCTCTCATCTTTTTAAGTGGGAGAACTTGCACAATTGGTGGCTGACTAAAAACTTTTTTCCCCCACTGTATAGTGTATCTAATCAAAACAGTAAAATTCTGTAAGCAGAAAAATAAAACTAATAGGCATGTTCAACTATTTTAAATAAATTATGACGTTCAACGATGGAGAGAGTCTATCAGAGCAGAGAGTGGAAATAGAATCTAAGGCGCACACTTTTTTTCTCTCACCACAGCAATGCGTTGCACTCAAAACATGAAATGTTGCGAAAACCTAAGCCCGGACACAGCCCAACCCAAATCTCACATTACATTTTTTTTTGGAGGGGGTGGGGGAGCAAGACAATTAATGAGGAGTGTTTCCAGATTTCTATGAACTATTGACTATACTTAACAAAAATATGTAAAGTGTTGATCCCATGTTTCATGTGCTGAAATAAAAGATCCCAGAAATTTTACATTTGCACAAAAAGCTTATTTCTATCAAATTTTGTGCACAAATTTGTTTTCATCCTTGTGAGCATTTCTCCTTTGCCAAGATAATCCATCCACCTGACAGGTGTGGCATATCAAGAAGCTGATACCACAGATGTCTCCCACTTTGAGGGAGCCTGCAGTTGGCATGCTGACTGCAGCAATGTCCACCAGAGCTGTTGCCAGAGAATTGAATGTTAATTTCTCGACCATAAGTTGTTTTAGAGAATTTGTCAGTACGTCCAACCGGCCTCACAATCGCAGTCCACATGTAATCACTCCAGCCAGGAAGTACCTCCACATCCGGCTTCTTCACCTGGTGGGATCGTCTGAGACCAGCCACCCGGACAGCTGATGAAACTGTGGGTTTGCACTACCGAATGTGCAGAAATTAAACGTTCAGAAACCGTCTCAGGGAAGCTCATTTGTGTGCTCGTCGTCCTAACCAGGGACTTCACCTGACTACAGTTTGGCGTCATAACCAACCCTGTGTCCCAAGGATCTGTACACAATTCCTGGAAGCTAAAAATGTCCCAGTTCTTCCATGGCCTGCGTACTCACTAGATATGCCACCCATTTAGCATGTTTGGGATGCTCTGGATCGACGTGTACGACAGCTTGTTCCAGCCAATATCCAGCAACTTTGCACAGCCATTGAAGAGGAGTGGGACAACATTCCACAGGCCACAATCAAAAGCCTGATCAACTCTATGCGAAGGAGATGTCGTGCTGCATGAGGCAAATGGTGGTTACACCAGATACTGACTGGTTTTCTGATCCACGCCCCTACCTTCTTTTTTAAGGCATCGGTGACCAACAGATGCATATCTGTATTCCCAGTCATGTGAACTCCATAGATTAGGGCCTATTGAATTTATTTCAATTGACTGATTTCCTTATATGAACTGTAACTCAGTAAAATCTTTGAAATTGTTGCGTTTGTTTTTGTTCAGTGTAATTACAAAATGAGTGAAATAGTTTTACTTCCACAAAATGCTAATTAAGTATGTTAAAAGCAGCTTTTATGTGTTGGAATGGTGTGGGTGTACCCCAACAACAGAATGGTGTCAGCGTATACCTGTCATAAAACAATATGAATGTGAGTAGACCGCTGATTGGCCAGCTCATCCTCCTCAGGAGGATAACATTATCCTCTGAGGAAATAGCAAGCATTTTTGCAATGGTCTGTTTGAGGTAGAAGTTTGAGGTGGGTTTTTTTAAGTGGGTTTTTCTCCAATTAATGCTTTGGCCATAAATATGAGTATATGATGCGTCAACAACATTATTTGTGTATGAGTTAACAGAATATTAACTTTTAAAAGTTAGATTTTCACTGGACAATTAATTTTAACTTGGATTGCTTTTATTAGAATTTCTTACTTTTCAAACAGTGGAAATTATGAGAGAGAGAGAGATAGAGGGCCTGATGCTATATCTAGCATATAGTGCTGAAAACGGCCTTTCCAAGCATTATATCCAAAGTTCTTTGCATGTCAGGGATGCCTGACTTTGCATGTTTGTGTTTGTATTTGTATTTATTATGGATCCCCATTAGCTGCTGCCAAGGTAGCAGCTACTCTTCCTGGGGTCCAGCAAAATTAAGGCAGTTTATACTATTTTAAAAACATTACAATACATTCACAGATTTCACTACACACTGTGTGCCATCAGGCCCCTACTCCACCACTACCACATATCTAGTTATCGTGTGTATGCATGTGTCTGTGCCTGTTTGTTGCTTCACAGTCCCCACTGTTCCATAAGGTGTATTTTTATCTGTTTTTTTTAATCAAATTTTACTGCTTGCATCAGTTACTTGATGTGTAATAGAGTTCCATGTAGTCATGGCTCTATGTAGTACTGTGCGCCTCCCATAGTCTGTTCTGAACTTTAGGACTGTGAAGAGACCTCTTGTGGCATGTCTTGTGGGGTATGCATGGGTTTCCGAGCTGTGCGCTAGTTCAGACAGACAGCGTTCAACATGTCAATACCTCTCATAAATACAAGTAGTGATCAAGTCAATCTCTCCTCCACTTTTAGCCAGGAGAGATTGACATGCATATTATTAAAATTAGCGCTGTGTGTACATCCAAGGGCCAGCTGTGCTGCCCTGTCTGAGCCAATTGCAATTTTCCTAAATCCCTTTTTGTGGCACTTGACCACACGACTGAACAGTAGTCCAGGTGCGACAAAACTAGGGCCTGTAGGACCTGCCTTGTTGATAGTGCTGTTAAGAAGATAGAGCTGCACTTTATTAAGGACAGACTTCACCCCATCTTAGCTACTTGTTGTATCAATATGTTTTGACCATGACAGTTTTACTCCAAGCAGTTTAGTCACCTCAACTTTTTTAGATTTAGTTGAGGTTTAGGGTTTAGTGAATGATTTGTCCCAAATACAATGCTTTTAGTTTTAGAAATATTTTGGACTAACTCATTCCTTGCCACCCACTCTGAAACGAACTGCAGCTCTTTGTTAAGTGTTGGAGTCATTTCAGTCGCTGTAGTAGCTGACAGGTACAGTGAGGGGAAAAAAGTATTTGATCCCCTGCTGATTTTGTATGTTTGCCCACTGACAAAGACATGATCAGTCTATAATTTTAATGGTAGGTTTATTTGAACAGTGAGAGACAGAATAACAACAAAGCAATCCAGAAAGACTAATGTCAAAAATGTTATGAATTGATTTGCATTTTAATGAGTGAAATAAGTATTTGACCCCTCTGCAAAACATGACTTAGTACTTGGTGGCAAAACCCTTGTTGGCAATCACAGAGGTCAGACGTTTCTTGTAGTTGGCCACCAGGTTTGCACACATCTCAGGAGGGATTTTGTCCCACTCCTCTTTGCAGATCTTTTCCAAGTCATTAAGGTTTCGAGGCTGACGTTTGGCAACTCGAACCTTCAGCTCCCTCCACAGATTTTCTATGGGATTAAGGTCTGGAGACTGGCTAGGCCACTCCAGGACCTTAATGTGCTTCTTCTTGAGCCACTCCTTTGTTGCCTTGGCCATGTGTTTTGGGTCATTGTCATGCTGGAATACCCATCCACGACCCATTTTCAATGCCCTGGCTGAGGGAAGGAGGTTCTCACCCAAGATTTGACGTACATGGCCCCGTCCATTGTCCCTTTGATGCAGTGAAGTTGTCCTGTCCCCTTAGCAGAAAAACACCCCCAAAGCATAATGTTTCCACCTCCATGTTTGACGGTGGGGATGGTGTTCTTTGGGTCATAGGCAGCTTTCCTCCTCCTCCAAACACGGCGAGTTGAGTTGATGCCAAAGAGCTCCATTTTGGTCTCATCTGACCACAACACTTTCACCCAGTTCTCCTCTGAATCATTCAGATGTTCATTGGAAAACTTCAGACGGGCCTGTATATGTGCTTTCTTGAGCAGGGGGACCTTGCGGGCGCTGCAGGATTTCAGTCCTTCACGGCGTAGTGTGTTACCAATTGTTTTCTTGGTGACTATGGTCCCAGCTGCCTTGAGATCATTGACAAGATCCTCCCGTGTAGTTCTGGGCTGATTCCTCACCGTTCTCATGATCATTGCAACTCCATGAGGTGAGATCTTGCATGGAGCCCCAGGCCGAGGGAGATTGACAGTTATTTTGTGTTTCTTCCATTTGCGAATAATCACACCAACTGTTGTCACCTTCTCACCAAGCTGCTTGGCAATGGTCTTGTAGCCCATTCCAGCCTTGTGTAGGTCTACAATCTTGTCCCTGACATCCTTGGAGAGCTCTTTGGTCTTGGCCATGGAGCAGAGTTTGGAATCTGATTGATTGATTGCTTCTGTGGACAGGTGTCTTTTTATACAGGTAACAAGCTGAGTTTAGGAGCACTCCCTTTAAGAGTGTGCTCCTAATCTCATCTCGTTACCTTTATAAAAGACACCTGGAAGCCAGAAATCTTTCTGATTGAGAGGGGGTCAAATACTTATTTCCCTCATTAAAATGCAAATCAATTCATAACATTTTTGAAATGCGTTTTTCTGGATTTTTTTGTTGTTATTCTGTCTCTCACTGTTCAAATAAACCTACCATTAAAATTATAGACTGATCATTTCTTTGTCAGTGGGCAAATGTACAAAATCAGCAGGGGATCAAATACTTTTTTCCCCTCACTGTATAGTGTTGAGTCATCCGCATACATAGAAACACTGGCTTTACTCAAAGCCAGTGGCATGTCATTAGTAAAGATTGAAAAAAGTAAGGGGCCTAGACAGCTGCCCTGGGGAATTCCTGATTCTACCTGGATTATGTTTTAGAGGCTTCCATTAAAGAACACCCTCTGTGTTCTGTTAGACAGGTAACTCTTTATCCACAGGATAGCAGGGGGTGTAAAGCCATAACACATACGTTTTTCCAGCAGCAGACTATGATCGATAATCTCGAAAGCTACACTGAAGTCTAACAAAACAGCCCCCACAATCTTTTTATCATCAATGTCTCTCAGCCAATCATCAGTCATTTGTGTAAGTGCTGTGCTTGTTGAATGTCCTTCCCTATAAGCATGCTGAAAGTTTGTTGTACATTTGTTCAATGTAAAATAGCATTGTATCTGGTCAAACACAATTATTTCCAAAAGTTTACTAAGTGTTGGTAACAGGCTGATTGGTTGGCTATTTGAGCCAGTAAAGGGGGATCTACTATTCTTAGGTAGCGGAATGACTTTTGCTTCCCTCCAAGCTTGGGGGCACACACTTTCTAGTAGGCTTAAATTGAAAATATGGCAAATAGGAGTGGCAATATCGTCCGCTATTATCCTCAGTAATTTTCCATCCAAATGTGTTACTCAGGACTTGGATTGCAAAATTCTGTGGATGTCCTAAAGCTCCCAAATATTTCAGAAATTATGGTTGTACGGATTCTGGATTTCCTGCTTATTCTCTCCTTATTCCAGTTATCTTCCAACTAGGATTTCTGGAAAACCTGGACATTTTGAGAATAAGTTACAGAAATATTCCTACCCCACTCATGAGTCCAAGCTTTTTTATGACCACAAACATTTGTGTCCTTCATACTTGCTATATTTCAAAGTGGAACTAAATAAGCCGTTGCCATGTTTCCCTCAGGATGGGTTTGTGGTGAGGATATACGCGACCAGCAATGACCCGGCACTGCAGCAGGAGCTCCAGCTGAAACTGGCCAGGAAGTGTCTCCACGCCTGCGGCATCTCTCTGTTTGACCTGGAGAAAGACCTACACATCATCAGTGAGTGCTACTGACTGTGCTCCGCTGTGAAATTTCCCCCTAGGACTAGCTTCCCCAATCCTAACCTTAACCATTAGTGGGGAAAATGGAAAACTGACCCAAGATCACCATCTCGCTCTGTCAGATATTGGCATATGAGGCGTCATCATATGTGCGTGTTTAAGAGACAAACCATGTTTTGATACCTTTCTATTCATTCCATTCCAGTGATTGCAATGAGCCTGTCTCCATATGTGTGTCTGTTTGTGTATCTATAATGTCTTTGTTTATGTGTGAATTTGTGCGTCTGTGTTTCTCTGCAGAAGTCCATATATCAAAATGTGTCTGTGTGTTTTCCAGGTACAGGGTTTGACGAGGAGGCAGCATTGCTGGGAGCAGGCAGGGAATTTGCTTTGATGAAAACGGCCTCAGGAAAGGTAAGAACGCGAGAATTGTCCAAACTGAGATGCATGAAACTGCAGTATAAAAATGTTAATGGTAGTTTGTGTGTGGGTGAAATAAGGTTTAATTCAATAAGCATGCAAATAATAATTAATCTGCTACTATAATCTGCTACTCCTAGTTTTGGAGTGTGACCAGCAACACAAGGGCTCTGCCTGTTCTGTTCTTACTCGCTTCTCTCACACACACACACACACACACACACACACACACACACACACACACACACACACACACACACACACAGTCTTCCTATAATAGTGAGGACCTTGACACAGGACCTTCAAATGAGGACCATTTCTGATAGATTTGGGAACAGACAGACATCTCACCTCATTCCAGCACTAAGTGGCCCCACATAGACATATGAAAAAATAGATATGCAGAGCACGAAGTCTAGTCGTTGCTAGGCAGTTTCTGGATCACATCTCCTTATTTGAGTGTCTGCAGCCTACAAGGCTGTTGCCGTCTGATGAGGTGAAAACATTACAGGAACGTTCTGCGATTGTTGATGAAGACGTCACTCAAAACACCCAAAAAAGACATGCAGGGAATGTTTTAAGAGTTTTTGTTCATGTTTTATTCAAGCCCCCATACTGCAAAACGAGCATGAGGAATTCAAATTGTTAAAAAACTGTCTGGACAGTGGATTTAAGAAGTGTCATCAATAAGGGATCATAGCGTTCATCTGGTCAGTCAATGTCATGGAAAGAGCAGGTGTTCTCAATGTTTTGTACACTCAATGTATACCATGCCATGAATTGAGTATCAAGTGTGATAAAATGGATACGTTTATGATTACGAGTATGACGAGATCAGCACATCCCTACAAACTACCACAACTTAAAGCTATACCGACCAGAACTTATTTTAAAAAGAATAGCTGCATAACTCCCATCATCAAAAAAAGAACATCAAATCTGTGTCATGCTTATGTTTGCAATAGCCTACTGTCACAACACAGACAAAGAACTAAGTTGGTTTGAAAATGTTGAGCACTGAGCAGCAGCTGAAAGGATAACAGACCATCTGTTTTGCCGGGAACCTTCTTTAGCGCCTCAAATTTTCCAAAAATGATGCCACACTGCCGCCTTCTCACAGCTGCTCCAGGGCCTCTTGGGTTGAGGAGTCATTCTCTCTCTATAAAATAAATGAAAGATTAAAACTAATACACATAATGGTCCAGCAAAGGAGGGGGAGGGGGGCAGGCAGAGGGAGGAAGGGAGAGGAGTGAAAAAAGGAGCATTAGCGAATGAGAGGTGAGGTGACAGAATAGAGAGGGAGAGGAAGCCAGCCATCTCTTTCTGTATTTCCACCTCACAGTAGAGTGCATGGGGTTGGGTACTCACGGTTCCCTGCAGGTGACCCGCAAAAAAATAAAATAATCAGCTGGTGGGTGGAGTGAAAACATTCCTTGAAACAGTTGGTCGGCTCGCGGTTCAGAACAATTATATTGCGGGTCGGAAACATTTTAATTAATGTTAACATAATATCTATAATATCTATTGTTAACAGGAAACTAATTCAACAATTTAGATGGAAAAAGGACTGGGGGGGGGCGAAATATACTTCTCCCATGGGCAAAGAAATTCAAAAGGGGTGATGATGTTAATTAACAATATTTATCAGAATGTGCAAATTGTCCAAACAGATCCTCAAGGTAGATGGATGATTTTAAGTATGTTATTGGACCATAAAAAGGATATGACTCATTAATCTATACGGTCCAAATAATGATGATCCATGCTTCTTTGAAAATATATTAATAATTGATCAAACCTACTAGCAATACAAAACTCTTATTATTGTGGGAGATTATAATACGGTTTTGAATACCTCAATGGACCGTAAAGGAAATCACACTACAAACTATCACCCTCATGCGCTTAAGGAAATCACAAATATCATGGATATATTGGAACTAGTGGATATAGGGAGGCTTAAATATCCTGACCTAAAAACAGATACCTTATTTACATAAGTATTCAGACCCTTTGCTATGAGTCTCGAAATTGAACTCGGGTGCATCCTGTTTCTGTTGATCATCCTTGAGATGTTTCTACAACTTGATTGGAGTCCACCTGTGGTAAATTCAATTGATTGGACATGATTTGTAAAGGCACACACCTTTCTATATATACCGTCCCACAGTTGACAGTGCATGTCAGAGCAAAAACCAAGCCATGAGGTCGAAGGAATTGTCCGAAGGAATTGTCCGTAGAGCGATGAGACAGGATTGTGTCGAGGCACAGGTCTGGAGAAGGGTACCAAAAAATTTCTGCAGCATTGAAGGGCCTGAAGAACACAGTGGCCTCCATCATTCTTAAATGGAAGAAGTTTGGAACCACCAAGACTCTTCCTATAGCTGGCCGCCCAGCCAAACTGAGCAACCAGGGGAGAAGGGCCTTGGTCAAGGAGGTGACCAAGAGCCCGATGGTCACTCTGACAGAGCTCTAGAGTTCCTCTGTGGAGATGGGAGATCCTTTCAGAAGGACAACCATCTCTGCAGCACTCCACCAATCAGGCCTTTATGGTAGTGGCCAGACGGAAGCCACTCCTCAGTAAAAGGCACATGACAGCCCACTTGGAGTTTGCCAAAAGGCACCTAAAGGAATCTCAGACCATGAGAAACAAGATTCTCTGGTTTGATGAAACCAAGATTTAACTCTTTGGCCTGAATGCCAAGCGTTACGTCTGGAGGAAACCTGGCACCATCCCTACGGTGAAGTATGGTGGTGGCAGCATCATGCTGTGGGGATGTTTTTCAGCGGCAGGGACTGGGAGACTAGTCAGGATGGAGGGAAAGATGAACGGAGCAAAGTACTGAGAGATCCTTGACGAAAACCTGCACCAGAGCTCTCAGGACCTCAGACTGGGGTGAAGCTTTACCTTCCAACAGGACAACGACCGTAAGCACACAGCCAAGACAATGCAGGAGTGACTTCAGGACAAGTCTCTGAATGTCCTTGAGTGGCCCAGCCAGAGCCCGGACTTAAACCTGATCTAACATCGCTGGACAGACCTGAAAATAGGTCTGACAGAGCTTGAGAGGATCTGCAGAGAAGAATGGGAGAAGCTCCTCAAATACAGGTGTGCCAAGCTTGTAGCGTCATACCCAAGACGACTCGAGGCTGTAATCGCTGCCAAAGGTGCTTCAACAAAGTCCTGAGTAAAGGGTCTGAATACTTATGTAAATGTGATATTTCCGTTTTTTATTTTGTATAAATTTGCTAAAATTTCTAAAAACCTTTTTTTGCTTTGTCATTGTGAGGTATTGTGGGTAGATTGAGGGGAGATTGAACAATTGAATCAATTATAGAATAAGGTTGTAACATAACAAAATGTTGAAAAAGTTATTGATTTATTGAATTGCTGTAGCATTTCTGTTGTGAATACTGCACCCACAATACAGTAGCCTAGTAGCTACAGTAGCCTAGTACTTGAAAGTTTGCTGTGGAGACGAGGGGGCTAAAGTCTATTACAAGCGGTGCCCGGTCCATAAATCAGAATGGAGGATTTGATTTACATGTCCACCAGCTTTACATCTAACTATTCATTACAGTAGCTAGCTAGACCATTGAGTGCTTTGTTAACTTTATTAGAAGTAGCCTAAGTTTTGAGAGGTGGAAAATGCGTGCATCTATAGCCCTGGTGCCCAGTGGTACCGTGGGCTGCCAACTCCTCTCTCTCTGCCTTGTTTGTGCACTGTGCTGTCCCGCCAATAAAGGCTTGAATAATATGCTAGCTAGTCTAAGGAGTTTTCTAGGCAGTGACCATGGCATGTTTTCTAAGATGAGACCGTGGCAGCTAGCATTCAGACCTTATAACTGTACACGCCCAGTCAGTAGCCTTTTGGACGTATGGCTAGTCTACTTCCCTGAATAGGCATTGTTTGACAGCTATCGGGTTGTTTTTTGAATGAACATCCCCTGATCTATTCACCCCTGCGTCTCATATTTTACATTACAAAATTACTGTTATTATTATGATACTACAGCTGTTATTATAGGCACATTTCAGTGATGAATAGGCCTATACCTTGCAAATTACCTTGTCATCTAAATATCACTATCGACATGGACATCTACATTTTCCAAAACGTTGTGACATGTAATTTGACTACTGGGCAATTGTCAGTACATTTTGTTGTCATATGATATCTACATGATCTAAAATGCTGAACATGTGCACAATGTTTGCAGTACCAGTGCACTGAGTGGTTCCCCTGGCGATGTGACAAGTGCTTGTTAGAAAGAATCCTAAGAAACAAACTAGTAATTATTATGGGAAAGAGGGGTACCTAGTCAGTTGTACAACTGAATGCGTTCAACTGAAATGCGTTTAACCCAACACCTCTGAATTAGAGAGGTGCAGTGGGCTGCCTTAATCGACATCAACGGCGCCCAGGGAGCAGTTGTTGGGGGTTTACTGCCTTGCTGGATGGGACCTCCTAGTGTTGATACGGAGCACCGCCGATCCATCACGACTGGTCTGCCGACGTAATCGTCTGATGTGGTTTCAACAGGCTTCCCGTTGCGACGACCACGAAGATCCATCTGCTAGCCTCGGCCCGCTAGCCCTGGCCCATCCTGGATGGATATTGACCTCATTCCGTCCGTACAGGATGCCTGGTTGTTCTTTTAAAAGTGCTTTCCTCTTAAATAAGCATGCCCCATTCAAAAAATGCAGAACTAAGAACAGATATAGCCCCTGGTTAAGCCCAGACTTGACTGCCTTTGACCAGAACAAAAACATCCTGTGGCGTACTGCATTAGCATCGAACAGCCCCCGCGATATGCAACTTTTCAGGGAAGTCAGGAACCAATATACACAATCAGTTAGGAAAGCAAAGGCTAGCTTTTTCAAACAGAAATGTGCATCCTGTAGCACTATCTCCAAAAAGTTTTGCGACACTAAAGTCCATGGAGAATAAGAGCACCTCCTCCCAGCTGCCCACTGCACTGAGGCTAGGAAA